CCCCCCCCCCCTCAGCGATACCCCTTACGGGGTTGTTAGAGGAACCAAAAAGAAGAAGAAGAAGGTGTCAGGTCATGCAACTCGACAAATTTATGTCCCTTGCAGGGATCCATCCTAAAAAGAAGTTTGGCACGTTTTTCTCCGGTTGGTCGGGAACTGACAGGAAACACAACATATTTTCCCTAGGCCTAAAGAGCCTTTAGAGTTGTCTGTATTACTTGTACTGCTAGGTATGGAAGTATTGTTTGGGGTGGCTGAGCTGTGTGCTTGTCCATACAGTTGGTTGACAGCACATGGGTGGGGGAATGACAGGCAGAAAATGATAGTCAAAAGTTCAGACAGTACATGGGGTGAACATGAAGGTCTCAGATATTCTTAAGCTAGGAGCCAGCAGGAATGTGGTATGTGGTTGACAATGGGGGGATTCAGGAAGCTGAGGATTTCATACTTCCCAGAAGTTTGATTTCTTGTTTAGATTGAATTACATTTTGTTTTCCCAAGTAATTGCTTACCTATGACTGCAAAGGTTGCTCCAATGTAAGACTCGAATACGATGGTTCCTCCTGGTTTCAACAGAGTTGATATGTTGGCCACCGCTTTCGCATATGATGGTCTGTATGACAAGAAAAAGTTGTGTATTTTCAGCGTTTATGGACTTAATGATATGGAGGGAACATACATGTACATTTACACCAGCACCATTTAAAGGAGTGGAAGACTGCATGGGGCACTTTCCATTTCATGTATGTGGACCCCTCCCCCTGCCACCCCACCCACAAGGCAATGTGGTCCATTGAAGGTACTGTCTTCATTTACTCTATGTGTCTGTATTTTGACATACGTTGGTCGGCATAGGTTAGCTCAAGAAGCTATAGATGGATTGTGATGATTTTTAATATGTACATATAGAATACAACACGGGGTATTCCGTATCGCCCGAGGTACCAGCCCGACCGCGCGTCGGATCGCCCGAAGGCCGGAGGGTGATCCGATCCGCGGGAGGGCTGGGACCGAGGGTGATGCGGAATACACCGTGTTGTATTTTATTTATGTCATACCCACCCACGAAAACTCGCCTTTCAATGCGAAATGAGCAAAGATTTCGTGTCCCTAATCCCAAAAAACGCAACAACGTCAATTCCAACGTCCTAATTTTGCATTCGAATTTTCGAAAGCGTTGCACGCGGTTAGGGCGAAACGCGTTCGAATCGTTCTGTGGAACATTTGGAAGGGCCGGGCTGTACGCGTTAAGAACCCCCGGGCCGTACCGCTAGTTATCACACGGGCCGGAACACCCGTATCGAACGTAATCGCGGCCCAGGTAGGACATAAACGGGGGTATGGTGTAGGTCTTGTTACTATGTTAGACCAAAGGTCAAGGTCAATTGTTGTTTAATGTTTACAAGCAAACAAACGAGAGGGATGAAATATAGGATATTTACATCAGGGCCCATCACCCTTTACTCAACCGCGACGGAGGCCGCCATCGTCTACAAGATACCTTTGACCCAGCAGTGTCGACATCACACTTAAAAAAAGCCACGTGACAAGCCTCACTGGGTCAGTCTACTGACGAAGACCAGAGTGACTGGTCGAAGGCTCTACAGTATAGGTGAGAGAACTTTTTTTGTGTTGGATCTAAAGTTTTAACAAAAGAAAATGTTTACCTATCTGGACACGCCACCTCGAGGCAATAAGCTGAGATCATGACATCAAACGGGTCAAAGGTCAGGGGATGAGTGGGGTTGGGTTGCAGGACGTCACAGTGCACTACCGCCTTGACCGCATGGCGGAGCTGCTGCTCACGGTCCTCGATCTTTTCACTGGGCGGCAAAACAAAAATATTCTGGGTGAGAAAATTTAGTATTGACATTTACTGAATTTCGTAGGAGATTTTTCGTCATCATTTCATACATAAGCTGATAAGGCGTATGAGCAAAACAAGATAATTTAGGCATGCATATGCATCTCTTTATTTTTAGGCACCGCCCATCTAAGCTACATGTAGAAGCAGCCTACAATACTAAACAAGCAAGTCCGTTTTCCGGCAACGACATCGCATGTTTTCCTTACAGATATCAGTAGTATGCTATGGGATAGGATTGACCTAACTTGCTACAATCAAAGAATGACCAGAAAATTGACTTTGAAAATCCAGTTTTGCGGTATGAATCTGCATTTAATGCCTTTAGAAAGAACACAAAAAGCACTAAACTTTTATAACCATAATACCTGTTAACATTTCTAGGTAACTTTTTTAAGTTAGACTTTTTTCTTCGTAAACCCTTGAATACTACACAATGCTTACATAGTAAATACTCTAACCGCTGGTATTATACTCACCTGCTTCCTTCCAACTCTATAAAGTATTGGAAGTACTCGGTCCAATCGAATGCAGTTCCGTCCTTCTTTAGCCATTTCTCGATTTCTGCCCTTGCATCCTAAAGTTTTAGAAAGTAAAGTGATAGTTTCAGGTGAAAGGGGCCAGATATATTAAATTCAACCATAAGCTTCTAATATAGCATGAAATTCATCTGTGTTGCTAGTAATCATAGTAAAATGTTGAACTTTATACCAAATAATCTACTCTTAATTAATTTCTTAACATTTTTGCCTTTTTCGTTATGTTTTAGCATTCTACGACATTGGTATCATTTTCAAGTTTTTTTTCCAACTTACGGTACATATTTACTAATTTTGCAACTGTTTTGTACGATTTACAGTATGGTTGAAACCTTTTTTTTTAAATTGCCGAAAATTCATGCGCGTGTGGATGTCATCCATGATCAAATCAACGTTAACATGACCTTAGTTATACAACCACAGGTGTTTAATACCTTGCTGTAATCTGAACAGACGATCTCCGAGAAGAACCGACTTGCGCTGATAACCTGGTACAGAGTAGAACCAGACCCGATGTCGATCAGACGGCCTCCGTACGACCCTGGAGAAAACAGTAAGTGGTAATTAATTAATTTAATTTATTTGTTTGGCTGTAAGAAGACAATTTGTACAGCCAGGGCAGCCCAACTAGCCGGACGGCTATTATTAAGGGCTTGCCCTGGAAAAAACAGTTGTAGATTTGTAGTTTCCACCAAGCTCACAACACGGGTTAGCCTGGTAGCCAGTCTATCGTGGTTGGGGCAGGCTGTCTTCGGGGCTCTAATAGTTTTCCCCCCGCCCAGCCCAACAGACTGCCCGCCTGTAGGAGGCTATCCTGAATTTGATTATCCTGGTCAATTATATCCCTTTTTGCCTAATTCTACGATCCATGTCGACATAAGAAGGCCTGGTGTAGGCTAGTACTTTTGTACTACGTTTTAAATTGTTTTGCGGACAGATCGTTAGGAAGTCGCATGGTGGCGCTAGTAGCATTGCACTGTTTGCATATAGATGTATTCACCTTTGATCGGACGATCGATGAAAAAAACACACTAACCTCACATGTAGAGCATTCTGGAGACGCCCAGGCCTATTAAATAACTTTGCCTTTCATACATTAAATTCTTACATAAAATGTGCATCTATAATGTCTTATACAATGATGATATTTTAATGTTTTTACTGATTCTTACCAGTATTGAACACGTCATGGAAGAATTCCATGGATTTCATAGACCCCTCCCCTTCGTCAGAAGTGATGTCCTCTTCAAAAGTGCCGAACAGCTCCTCCAAGTACTCTCTGCCCCAGGGTACCTTGCCGCCAGTTGTCATGGTTACCAATTTTGAATGTATCGTCTGCAGTGAGAGGTATATAGGGTCTATGGATATATGGCGTGGTAGCTGCAACAAGAATAATACGTGGTGTATAGTTAGACATTGGCCACATGACGTGGATATCCGTATCAAGTATAATGTAAATATTTAATATGGGATGAACCATTTATATTCAGAGTGAGCCAGTGCCATGCACCACTAGTTTGTGGTCGATTCGGCACGTGTGCTTGTGTGTGATCGAGACGGGTGAAGTCTATGGGCGACGGGTGAAAAAAAAGGTTTTGTAGGGTAAAATTGTCATTTTTATCATTACCAGGGCCTTTGAAAGTTGTATAGATCCTCTAAATAAAATTTGTGATGATTTGGTACATTTCAAAAGTGACAATGTCGAACAAATTTGTTGAACCTTTATGACCACGTGGATTTCATCATTAAAAAAAAAATATTTTTTTTTTGGGG